GAGTGGAACAAAAATGTCTGCAAATATTATTATTTCTTCTGAGTGTTTGGTGGTGGTGTCTCAGTGCCTCAGCACTGAGAGTGTGTGGTCACCCCTTATCTGGACAAAATCTGGAGTTTAACTGCATTATGATGTTAAATTGGTATTATATGAACTGTTTGACACTTGGTAACATTTGAGGAAGGTGTTTAGTGTGTGCCTGAAAGCTGGAACACTGATTTTCTTGCTGGCAGTGGAGGGTTTTTTGGTTAATCTGAGTGTTTCACCTCTATGGGAAGTACTTAGAGGAGAACACACAGTGTGAGGCCTTTAATATCACCCTGGTGAGGTTTGACTTTTCTTTCCCCCTGCTAATTTGACTTTTTGGTCTTTGCTGTCATCCCATCACTTCCCTGTTGGCAGCTCCTGTGCCCCAACACCCAGTTCCTATGGAGGAGCACAAATTTTAGGGTTCCCCTTTAAACTGTTGCCTTGGTCAGTGTTTTCTACCCCACAGCCTGAGCTGCAGCCACGTGTGGTTGTGCAGCTGAGTTGTACCTGGAGTCTGTGGTGACTTGGGCCAGTTCCTATGGAGAAATACAATGACATGAGTCTGCATTTGGGGCCTTTCCAATACTTTCCTGTTACTTCTTTTCATTATTTCATTTCATTTTCCTCCATAGCAGAAGCAAATTGTTCAGAGCAGTAGCTTAAATGTCAAGCAGGGATTTGTGAAAGCACATGTTGATTAGACAGGCTGTTGAGTTACCTCCTTAATTGGGAGCATATTTATATCTGCAATTTGTTTGATGATATCTTTAAAACACATAATTTTCCCTTATCAGAGAGGGAGCATTGTGGAGATATTTATCAAAGCTGACAAAATGAATGTGAAAACTACCTTGACAAGGTGTGTGCTGGTGGATTTTGAGTCTCCTGATTAATTTGTTCTGCAGTTCAGAGTGAAACAAACCATCAGTTTTATTTTTTAAGCCCTGTTTTGCTTGGATCACTTCCTGCCCCGTGCTGTGAGTTTGTGAGATTCTGTCTGCACACACAAAAAAACTGGGGTCTGCTCCTCATAAAGGCTTGGTGGTACATGAAGTTTTTCTTGATGCTTGATGTGTTTTTTTGTCTCCCTGCTGGAATGGATGTATGAGCTGTTTGCTCAAGCCTGAGAGGGGAAGGAAGGTGGAAAGACAGCTGGAGATCAGAGTGATGGATGTCATAGCATAAAGCAGGAAAACTGACACACAGAGGTTTGTTCTGCAGCACTGGAAGGGAAGGGGCTGATAAATCAAGACCCTTCAGCACAGACATGTGTGTGATGACCCCTCCTGCAGAGCATCCCCCAGCACACAGCACTCACACCCCCTGGACTCAGCTCCATCCTCCCACTTGCTGAGGTCACACCTGGATCTGCCCCATGAAGCCACAGCTGCCAAATCCCACAGGTTTTCCAGAGTTTTCCGCTTTGCACAAGCCTTTTTGGTGGGAGCTGCTGAGCTGTTGTGGAGCCTGACTGGCACAGGTTGCCCAGAGAAGCTGTGGCTGCCCCATCCCTGGAAGTGTCCAAGGCCAGGTTGGACAGGGTTTGGAGCAACCTGGGCTAGTGGAAGGTGCCCCTGCCCGTGGCAGGGGGTGGGACTGGATGGTTTTTGAGGTTCCTTTCAACCCAAACCCTTCTGTGATTCTGTGATCCTGTGCTGAGGATACACCAGGGATCTCTGCCCATAGTAGTTTTTGCTTCACATGGCCTGATCCAACACATCAAGGGGTCAGGCATCTCTGGGAATGCAGATACAGGGACTCCAGTGTGAATTTGAAGCCAATTGGCAAGTTCTGTGAGCCAGCGGTGGCCAGGGATGTGCACCAGCCAAAGAAGTTTGGTACCAGCTGATTTTTTTTTTTTTTTTTTTTTTTTTGGTAAGAGTAAAGCAAGTGCTGATAGATGAAGACATGCAGGAGGCAGAAAGGATTTTTGAGGACACTTCCAGATTTTTGAGGACAGTTCTCTTAGATTTATGTACCTAATGGTGTTCTTCAGTACCTTTGAATTTGTCCTTAAAGCCTAAATTACCCTTAAGAGGCACATTGCACTCCTTGCACACCAACCAAAATAGCAGAGGCTCCTTCTACTCTCAGTTGCTTCCCTTTTTGTTATGTGATTCCTTTGTGCACACTGGGCACTGGGAAGAGTGTGTTCTTTCTTCACAGGAAATAAAGGAAACTGTTAAAAAAAAATGCCTATTCCTTTCTGTAAGGCACCTACCTCTGTTTATCATCCCTAATGGAATATGAGTTCGATGCTGGAAGTTTGGGATGAGTGGATTATTGCCTTGATTTTCTGAGATTAATTACTGGAAAGCTTCCTGTAAGAATTTGCAGTTGAAATTTTAATTTTGACTTGATTAAGAAACGCCTGTGGCTCATTTAGTGGAACAGAAAGGAGAAAATTATTCTGGATTGAGCCCCTCAGAAGCTTCAGTGAGATTTTTCGGGTTCCTGGGAAGTGGGGGCAGGTCACAGTGTGGTGCAGCAGATGACCCAGTGCCACCAGGACTCAGTTCCTCGTGACTGGGGGGTGATGGAGAGGACGTGGTGAGGTGCAGCCTCGATGAATCACATCCTGCTCAAAGGGTGGGAGCTGGAACTGGGTTGTGCCCTTGAACTGGGGTTCACCACCCACCCTGGAGCTTCCTAAGGAGATGCCAGGGCCTTGCAGGGGTCAGGAGAGATGATTTTGCCCAAGATAATTACTTTTCATCCATTTTTCACGTGAAGATGCAGAACTTCTACAGCTGTTTGTTGGGAATTTGTTGCCTGACTTTATTTAAAGAAATCATGTTTAAAGAGAGAATTATTTCATAGAATCAGTGGTTTGGGTGGGAAGGGACCTTAAAGATCATCCAGTTCCAAACTCTTTCGTGGGCAGGGACACCTTCCCCTACTTGTTTTCCTACAAAAATTAAGTATCTTTGTTTTATAAATCATAAATGTATTTTAATCAGCAAAATGGGTAATTAAAAACCACAATCTTCATTCAAACAAGGAATTAAGCAGTTTGCTAAAAGCAGCTTTCTTTCTCGAGCCTTTTTTAACCTCCTCTCTTCCTTCTTTCACATTCACAGGTTTAAGTGACACAAAAAAAAAAAAAAAAAACCCAACCCAAAAAAACAAACCAACAACCCAAACCCACACGTTGCTGTTTCCTCTGTGGTGGAGGAGTCCTCCCCACACCCCCTCTCATCCTGTGTCACCCTGGCAACACCACTGCTGTTTTCAAAGGGGAAATTCCAAGCCCTGCCCTCTGCCAGCCAAGCAGGGGTGGTTTGAGCTGTGCCATCGCTCACCACTCTCTCCCCTTGCCCTGGGTGACTCAAACTGAGTGGTGGGAGGTAGAAGAGCGGGAGAAGGTGGTTGTGCATTCCCAAAAAACCGCTGGGATTTTACCTTGGTGGGATCCACATGCTGACACTGAGGTTTTAGGAGTTCAGAAGGACGTTGAGTTCTGGTTTGGTCCATTTGCAGTGGTGGCATCTCAGCAGCTCCACCTTGGGCATTTCCTTGTTGTCATCTTCACCCTCTACCTCTCCATTTTTTTCCTTTAGTTTGATTGCTCTCCAAGACTGTTTTTGTTGTGGGGTTTTTTTAAGCCTGACTAAATTTATCTGCACTCTTAGATCTTGCTGATGACTTGCAGAATTCACCTCTTGCTCTTGCGGCACAAAAAAAAAAAAAAAAATCACAGTTTATTTTCTCTTCCTCTGTTTCTGCCAGAGTTGGGCCTTCACCTGTGGCCCTGAGCAAGATATTTGATATTTAATGTTCTAAGCAGTGAATATTAACAATCAAACTCTATTTCTGTTATTGAACCAACTGTTGTTGTGGGTCGTGGTGCTGTGAGTCACTGTGGACAGATGGCAGCTTCAGGCAGCAGCTCAGAGTTGAACAATCTTCTAAAGAACTGTGATCTCTGGTGGAAAAAAAAATTTCCTTATTTTTCCAAAACTGCTGAGCTCATTTTCTGTAGTGAAATCTGAGAGGGTGTATTTTCCTTTTATAGGGCATTTAAAGTTATTGGGGGAAAAAAGAAGTTGAAATACGTTTCATTCTCTTGGATGCAAGGAAAAGTGTGAAAATGCAGTTTTTCCCTACCCCATGTGCAGTCAAGAGTTAGTTGTTTTCTAACATACTGACTTCTGTATCTTTTTGTGTCTTTCAGTCATTAACATCTGGATATGTGCAGGGAACATTTGAAATGGCAAACAAGGAAGAAAACAGGGAGAAGAACAGATATCCCAACATCCTGCCATGTAAGACGTTCCCTTTCCTTTTAAATCAGACAATTAATTTCCAATTAGCAGGCTGGTTGTAGTGGGGTTTGCTCAAAATATTCAATTAATAACAATTTCAGTGGTCACGAATGCTCTTCATACGTTGTATGTGTCCAACCTGTCTGGTTTGTGACATGTCTCTAGTAGTGGTTTAGGAGCTCTGTGCTTATCCAGGCCTCCTGCTTGCAAAGAAATGACATCTTTCAGAGTGATTAACATGCTTGTTTTCTTTCAGATGATCATTCCAGAGTGATTTTGACCCAAATTGATGGAGTCCCATCTTCAGACTACATTAATGCATCATACATAGATGTAAGATGACATTTGCCCACTTCACACTTTGTGAACTAAATAAGTATTTCTCTGCTAACACATGCTGCCATTCCATCTTTTAACTGATATTTATTTCCACAGGGTTATAAAGAAAAGAATAAATTCATAGCAGCACAAGGTAACTTATTTTCATTTCTCTATTCTGTACATCTTAAGAGCTGAGCATGTTTAATTTTAGACGTGTTTTAAAGGCTATTTTCAGGTGCAGAAAGTGGTCAAATATGAGGTTGGATTTAGAGGTCACAGTTGAAGTGTGTGTATGAGGTGACCCAGTGCCTTTAGACCTGCAGATACTGCTCTGAGCAGAGGCTCATCTTCTCCCCCCTCACACTCCAAAATTGATGTCTCCTGACCATACATTCAGTCTAAGCAATCCTGCCACAGAAATCAGCATTTCCACAGGAATTCTTGTGCTGTATTTAATCATAAATGTGGGTGACTTTGTCACCACAATCCCAGACACAAAACAAGAGCTGCCCCAGCCTCTCAAAATGCTCCTGCACGATGAGCAGCTCCCAGACAGGGATTTGTTGTGGTCACAGGTAATGTGGACCTTGCCACAGGAAAGGCTGCAAGTAGAAATCCCAAATGCTGCTCCTGCCATTGTCTACCTAAAGGATTAAATAATATTTAAGACTGAATACTTGGAGCATCTTCCAGTGCCTAAAGAGGTTCCAAGCGAGCTGGACAGGGACTTGAGACAAGGGCCTGGAGGGAGAGGACAAGGGGAAATGGCTTCCCAAAGGGCAGGGTGAGATGGGATATTGGGAAGGAATTGTTGACTTTGAGGTTGGTGAGGCCCTGGCACAGGTTGCCCAGAGAAGCTGTGGCTGCCCCATCCCTGGAAGTGTCCAAGGCCAGGTTGGACGGGGCTTGGAGCAACCTGGGCTAGTGGAAGGTGTCCTTACCCATGTCAGGGGGTGGAACTGGATGATCCTTAAGATCCCTTCCAAACCATTCTGTGATTCTATTGAGTAATATTTCAAGGGAGGAGACGTCTGCTAGAAATGTAGACTTGGGTGCATATGATTGTGAGAAATAAAATATGGGAGTTTTTAAGGAATATGTGGTATGTTCCAAACCTGTACAGGTGTAGCAAACACAGGTCTGGGTGAGCACCCAGGATGGGGGTATTGTGAATTAAATAAGTATTTCTCTGATCCATACCCCTCCTGAGCACTGCTGTGTTCTGTCTGCAGGACCGAAGCAAGAAACAGTCAATGACTTCTGGAGGATGATATGGGAGCAGAAGTCAGCCATTATTGTCATGTTAACCAACCTGAAAGAAAGAAAAGAGGTAAAGAGCTTTCGTTTGCCCTGAGGTGTCCCTGTGTGCTCCAAAATAAGTTGTGGCTTCTCAGGCTCTGGCCAGTTGCATTTCTGACCGCTTCCTTCCCTGGTCCCTGTCAGCACAGCTGAATTTCTGCTCAAAAAAAATGGAGTTTTCGTTTCTAAAACACAAACTTCTATCAGTTATTCTTAAGGAAGAAGTTTTGGTGGCTCATTGTGTCCTGCATAGCCCACAGCCAAAGGAAAATTCTAGTGGTTTTATCCCATCCTGACGCTGCACTTGTAGATGGGTCTGGTTGGGAATAAAGATAAAAACCTTTTGAATTTTCAGAATTCTTTCTGGCACATCCACAAAACCATTAAATATTAAGTCTGCTTTGCTGTGAGAGTGGTTCTGTTCCTTCCTGTCCCCCATTCCTCCTCTGTTACGTGGATGGGCGTTCCTTGTTTGCCTCCTCAGGATGTTACTTTTGCTTTCTTTTCCTGCACTTTTACTGCTGCTTGATGAAGCTCAGACAGCAAAGGCAACCCATAAGGGCCCATTACCAGTATGAGCAGCCAGAACTGTTAAATCTGGATGTTCCTCGTGACTCCAAATGACTGCCCAGAGAAGCTGTGGCTGCCCCATCCCTGGAAGTGTCCCAGGCCAGGTTGGACGGGGCTTGGAGCAACCTGGGACGGTGGAAGGTGTCCCTGCCCATGGTAGGGGGTGGAATGAGGTGGTCTTTAAGGTCCTTTCCAACCCAAAGCAGCCTGTGCTTCAGTGATTCTGTGAAATAAGGTCTGCTCTGCATTTCTCACTGGCTGCACCTACAGCTTGAAAATGCAGTCAAAGCATCACAGTCCCCACATTTGGACACCCCCTCACAAAGCAGCCAAACTGAAACAAAAGCTGTGTATGTCTGGCTAGGTTAAAAACCAACTTCAAAACTGTTCTCGCCTTCTCTGCAGAAATTTAATCAGTAGCACCAGCAAGGTGTTAAAGCTGCCTTGTGCCAGGTGAGAAACTCCGATATCCGTATTTATACACCCTGTTTTCAAATAACTCCCTTCTTTTCAAGAGTGACCAGCAGTGAAAGCAAACTCAGTGTTATAAAACTCACTGTGCTTTTGTGCAGGAAAAATGTTACCAGTATTGGCCTGACCAGGGGTGCTGGACTTATGGAAACATCCGTGTGTCCGTGGAGGATTGTATAGTGCTGGTGGACTACACCATCCGCAAGTTCTGCGTGCAGTCGGTGAGGAGCAGCCCTGCTCTGGGGGCTTCTTTTTAATCTTCAGAGGAAGAAGTTTACACTGTAAAATTCTAATCCTCAAATCAGGCTTGAAGTGTTGCAGGATTTAAAATCGTAAATAAGTAGGGCAGTTTGTGTCTGAGCCTTTGCATGAAAACTGAGATGTCCAACAGTGTCTGTGTGCTCCTGCAGCTTCATGATGGTTGTAAAGCTCCAAGGCTCGTCACACAGCTTCACTTCACCAGCTGGCCAGATTTTGGGGTGCCTTTCACACCTATTGGGATGCTGAAATTCCTGAAAAAAGTCAAAGCATTGAATCCTGCCCATGCTGGACCAATTGTGGTTCACTGTAGGTATGTATGTGCTCCTCAAGGCATTCTCATAGCTTGGTCTGGAGTTATATATATATTTATATATATATATATATATATAATGTATAGATCTATTTATTTGCATATTTCTGTGTTTTATTTACATATTTATATTAAAGGGTAATAATATGCTGAGATTTTTGAGAGAAAAGGGTGTAAACAACTTCAAAAGATCTGTCTTTGCTGTCACTTCCATACTCAAACAGAAGTTGTTGTTTTGTTGTTTGTGGGGTTTTTAAATCCATGAGTGGTATCCATTGTTTGGTACAAATATGTTTCTTGTCAGAAAAACAGACTCATAATACAAATCTGTGACCTTTGCCACTAAATGCTCCTCTGGGAATTCATCCCCCACTTCTCCCACAGTAAAATTGCAGTTCCCTATGTAAATTAGCCATTTGAATGCATCAAAAGTTTGGAATAAAGAACTTCATTCAAGAGACTTAAATGCTGCAATTTTAAGAACGTGCTACATATGAATACAGAACATATTCCCACTCGTGGGTCACACACACACAGGTCCTGCTGTCAAAGGCTTGTGCTATTGAAATCTTGTCTTAATGAAACCAAACCCAAACTCCAAATCAGTTCAAAGACAATAATTGCAATCTCTATAGCAACTGTAAGCTCACAAATGAGCAAGAAGTGTCTTTTCAGGAGCAATTATTGTAATGAGTTTAGAATGAAAAGAAAAGAAGAGCAGCTTTGTCTTTCAGGGTCTTGTTTTTTAAGGAAAAAAGGCTGTAGATTTATGTATTTGTCTTTTTTTTTTCCCCTTGCTTGTGTCAGACATCTAAAAATACTCCCTTGAAAGAGAGTGTTTGTCCTGACCAAGGCAGTGTTGATGGTTGGTTTACATCCAGTTCTTGCCTTGCTGGGATTCAGCTTCTCTCCCAGGTGTCGTAAATAAGAGGCTTGAAGAAAATCATTCAATGGAAAAAAGTAGATTTTAGTTGTCTCGCAGTCTTTCCTGGGATAAACCCATTGTATTTTTATAGCCCTTTATTATGTGTGGAGATGCATTTTGGCCTTTATTTGCCACCGGCAGGAAATGCTGTACTTGGCTTAATGAGCAGGAGTAGAGACAAAATAAAGGAAAATACAAAATATCTTCATTAAAATCTGCAGAAATTTAAGTAGAATGGGCCAAGAGAGCACAGTGTGACCTGTGTCAGTGCTGGGGCCTCAGCCCATGTCAGAAATCAAGGAGCAGAGAGAGAAGTGACAATTTCCGTTGGAGCTCAGGATGTGACACCATTGAATTGTTGGAAAAAGGAAAGGGAAGCCCATCAGGAGTGAGTAACCATCCATTTTTAGTGAGCTTTTAGAAAAATATTACCCAGCCACTTCGACAGAACCAGCACCATCAAAATCTCGTGGAACTTAATAAAGCTCCAATTTGGCATTTGCAAGGAAAGAAGTGAAAACAAGGACAGGGGTTGGCAGGATTTTCTGTCAATTCTTTTATTCCATGAGTTTTTAGAAATAATTTATTCTCTGTGTGCAGATGAGGATTAGCTGAGTAAGGGATACCCTGGAGGAAGTTAAGGATGGATAAAATCAGGGAAATTCCGAGGCAGATGTCAAGGTTGGTGAAATTCCCAGCTTGAGGAGGGATATGCAAGGATGGAATTCAGAGCGGGTCTGAAATAATAAAGGAACAAGGGGATGGAGCAAGGATGTGGAAAAAGGGACTGTGGCTGTAAAGGGAAGGGAAGTGATGGAGCTGAGTGTAGGGCTCAGGGGGTGAGAGCTCCCAGGAACGAGCAGTGAAGGAAAAATGTGAACTGGACATGGGTGACCCGTGCTCAGAGTGGTTCCCAGGATGTTTCAGGAAGAGGAAAAAGTTTATAAACTGGGAGTCAAAGAGTAGGACATGATAGGGACTTGTCCTTGGTGTCAGATCAAACATGAATGGAAGGGGTGGAGCCTTGGCCACTGTGGGGTGGTCCATGGCCAGTGGCTGGAGGGGGTCAAGTGAGACCAAGGGGTGGGAGCACTGGATTGAGACTGGCAGGAGGGAGGACAGTCTGCCAAATGGATGATTAAATCCAAAAGGGTTTGGGGGTAGAAGTTTTGGTGAAAATTTGGTGAAGCTCCGTGGTACTCCATAAATCCACTCGTGTCCATCATCCCTCCAGACCTCTGGAATAGCGGGGCTTGGGGGGCTTTGATTCCACGTGGTGTTTGCTGTTAAAAGTGTGCGTTTGACAGAAGAACTCAGCTGTGTTATGAACACTGTATTTTTTTCCTGGTGGTATTTAAAACCTAATGTTTTCCTTGCTGGAAACTTCTCTGTTATCTTTGAGCTGGGGATGAGGGGAGACGTTTTTATCCTGTTCCTGGAGGTTTTGGTGGCCATTCCAGCAAAATAAACCAACCAAAGGTTAAAGGAGAGCTATTAATGCCTAGCACAGGATGCCATGCCCTTTTCCTCTGGAAGGAAGAGCCGAAAGTCGCTGGAGCTCCGTAATTTCTAATGATCGTGCTCCCTCTTGTGGCTTGTGAAGGATATAAAATCCAAAAACTGTTTTGGGACGGTAGTGTTGGGGAATGTGGAACTAAATATTAAGAAAAAAAAAATTTCATCTTAGACTGAATTATTATACATGGTCAATCAAATCTCTTTTCCAAAGGTGTTTTTTATATAATTCTGATGTCATCAACCCTGAGCTGCGAAGAGGGGAATTTTTGTGTTAAAAAAAATTCTTTTTCTAAATATTATTTTATTTTTATTTTGTTGATATCATTGTCAACATGAAAAATGGAGGGGTTTAGATTTGATATTAGGAAAAATTCCTTTATGGAAAGGGCTGTCCAGCCCTGGCACAGCTGCCCAGGGCAGTGGTGGAGTCCCCATCTCTGGAGGGATTTAAAAGCCGTGTGGATGTGGCACTTGGGGACATGCGTTAGTGGTGGCCTTGGCAGTTCTGGGGGAATGGTCTTGGAGGGCTTTTCCAACCTTAACCATTCCGTGATTCTGTGAAATTTTACGTTTCCCAGTGACCATTTCAGTTTGGTCCAAGCTCGAGTTCTACCCGTAGAACTTCTTGCTGTAGCAATTCCCGCAGATTGGTGATTCCAGAGGTCTCAGTGTGCTCTGTCCCCCCCCAGCGCTGGCGTGGGCCGCACGGGCACCTTCATTGTCATCGACGCCATCATCGACATGATGCACGCGGAGCACAAGGTGGACGTGTTCGAGTTTGTGTCCAGGATCCGCAATCAGCGGCCACAGATGGTCCAGACTGACGTGAGTGGGCTTTAAGGGCAGCTTTTCGTGCTCAGAGAAGGCGCTTCTGTATTTCTACTCCACAGTGTCTTGTGCTGTTGCGTGCCTGGATAAGACAGGTTGGAAGGAGTTTGGAGCAGCCTGGGATAGTGAAAGGTGTCCCTGCCTGTGGCAGGGGTGAGACTGGATAATCTTTAAGCACCCTTCCAACCCAAACCATTCCAGGATTCTGTGTGCTGGTTTAGGTTGGATATTAGGAAGGAATGCTTCCCCGTGAGGGTGGGGAGGCCCTGGCACAGGTTGCCCAGAGAAGCTGTGGCTGCCCCATCCCTGGAAGTGTCCAAGGCCAGGTTGGAGGAACCTGGGATAATGGAAAGTGTCCCTGCCCATGGCAGTGGGTAGAACTGGATGGGCTTTAGGGTCACTTCCAACCCAAACCTTTCCATGGTTTTGTGATTTCAAGTGAGATAGGTAAGGCCCAGAATGCCTGCTTTCATCCCTGTGTCCTCACCTGCCTCTCTGTCCCTTCCAGATGCAATACTCCTTCATTTATCAAGCCTTACTCGAGTACTACCTCTATGGGGACACCGAGCTCGACGTGTCATCCCTAGAAAAACACCTCCAGACATCCCACAATGCTGCCCCAAACCTGGTCAAACTGGGGCTGGAAGAAGAATTCAAAGTAAGTATGGAAACCCTTTGCCACAGGATTTCTAAGGTTTAATCCGAAAAGATAAAGGTGTCACCTTAAAGGTCCATAAAAGGGAACAAGTTGTTCTTTTGGGGTTGCTGTGAATGGTCCTGTGGAATGGGGCCCTTGCTGAACATCCTGTTCTGGGAATGCTCATTCAGAGCTGTGTTGCTGTACAGGCCACTTCCTATATGTTTTTTGTTTGTTTGGGAAGGAAAAGAGGAGTGATTCTCTGGGTCTGGTCCCGAGGCCAGATCAGATAATGCTGGAAGAGGAAACTGGATTACGTGTGCCTAATTTGCATCTCAGTGGGATTGTTAACTCAGAGGTGACTGACAGGGAGAATTGCAGAGAATTTTGCTGAATGTCCAGACTGTCAGGAAAGTAAATTAAAAAAAAAAAAAAAAAAAAAAAAAAGGGATTTCTTTTTAGTGGAGAGCCCCAAATGCAGAAAACAACCACACGGGCTATGTCTGATCATTGTTAAAATAGATTTTAGTGTCCTGAGGGAATAATTAGAACTTTTTTATGACTTAGTTTTACTTTAAATTGAATTTATATTGGATAGTTGCTGAAATGCAGGTGTGTAACTGATCACTTTTTGGTGAGTCCCAGCCCAGCAGAGGCAGTTTTTTGGTGTGTGTTCTTGCACGGTCTTATGGGTGTGTAATATAAATATATTACTATTATTATTTATATGTACTGTAAAATAATCGCTAAGGCAAGAACAGTGTTTGTCTTCTCTGTCCTGGGAATGCTGTCACTGTAAACTGAATAAATAATAGGGAGTATTGGTCCATTCATCAGCAAAAGGATGTTAGGGAGAAATGTTTCCCTGTGAGGTTGGTCAGGCCCTGGCACAGGTTGCCCAGAGAGGCTGTGGTTGCCTCATCCCTGGAAGTGTCCAAGGCCAGGTTGGGTGGGGCTTGGAGCAACCTGGGATGAACTCTAAGTCCTTCCAACCTAAACCGTTCCACGATTCTGTGACTGTTATTCTTTCTTAATTTTTATGGACAGGATGATGAAGTGGCTTTTATGAAAAGTCAGTGTCCCTTTGACTGTGTCACTGTTTTATACCCCATAAAGACACTTCAAAGTGCAGATATGGTGAGTGGGACCCACTTCTGTTCCAAGGAGTTTTCATCCTGGTTTGCGTTTTATTCCAGAAGTTAACAAACGTTCGGATCATGAAGGAGAACATGAGAACTGGGAATCTTCCAGCAAATATGAAGAAAGCAAGAGTCATCCAGATCATCCCGTGTAAGAGGTCAACTTTTGTATAGAGAAGCAAGTGCTGTAAATACCTGGCTATCCCCAGGCTGTTGTGACTACACACTATGTCTGTATGTTGGCAACATGTCAGAGCACAGCTCTCCTTATAAAATATATCCTTATATAAAGTGAAATACTCTTATAAAGCACCTGCAAACGATTTAATGAATTGATTTTTACTCCACTGATATAAAATCTGTTACAATCGGGTATTTTGGATTAAATAATTCAGCAGTTTCACCTTTTAAGCCAACCTATTTTCTGTGGGATTCTTTGCTTATTCTTTGTGAAATTCCAAAGATCCAGCACTGCAATGTCTGCACCTGCAAAATGAAAATTTCAGAGGAGAGGTATTGCAGGTTTTGTTATTTCACATGCAGTTGGCAAAAGTAAGACTAGAACCTGTCTTATCTTTTTTTTTTTTTCCAGATGATTTTAACAGAGTGATTCTCTCAATGAAAAGAGGGCAAGAATATACAGACTACATCAATGCTTCCTTCATAGATGTATGTATAAACCATTTCTGTGTATTTAAATTTTGAATCTGGTATTTTTCTGTTACTGATAAGTCCTTTCAGAGACACAATCAACTTGGCTTATGAAGAAGATGAGCTTTTCTGGTTCAGTTTGGTTTATGGGAGTTTCCAAGTCCATTTCTCATCTGGTGTTTTCAATTTCAGTTTAAATGATTGTGTGATTTAAACATTCGCCTTTGTTGTTAGATTTATAAATGAAAGCTTTTATTAAATTCTGACAAACAGGCAATGAAACAAATTAGCTAGACAACTGACATCCAGCTGTTCCATTATCTGCTTCAGGTTAACAGGTGTAAATATTTGCTCTTCCAAGAAACAGAAAAGTCTGTATTTAGCACAGGGAAAGGCTGTCACAGTGTTTGGGAGCCAGGGTTTACCTGGGCAGGCCTGGATTAATTCCAAGCTTTCTTCCCAGCTGCCTGTTGGAACCTGGGCAACCCAGGACTGTGTCTTGTTTTTATTTCAGTATGGGAATTAGTCATGTGTTTAAGCAGTAAAACCCCATTAGCAGCTGAGGATTGTGGATGATCCCATCAGCATGGAAATAAGGAAGGACTGGATGTGGCACTCCGTGCCGTGGTTTAGTTGACGCGGTGGTGTTGGGTCATAGGTTGGACTTGATGATCTGAGGTCTTGTCCAACCTAATTGGTTCTGTGATTTTGTGAAATGAAACTGCCTTAAAACTGAGTTAAAAGTTAATTCTACAGGAAAGCCTCACAGCTGCTGTTGTTACAATGTCACTGTGAAAGCTTTTCAGTTCCCTGTTCTTGCGGAATTTCATCCCTTCAGCCACGACTGTAAAAATTCACCTCAGGATTGTGAATTTAGGGGAGTTTTTAGCATCACAAATCATTTAGGTCGCAAGAGCCTTCTGAGATCACCAGATCCAACCATCCCCCCGCGCTGCCAAGGCCACCACTAACCCCTGTCCCCAAGTGCCACATCCACACGGCTTTTAAATCCCTCCAGGGTGGGGGCCCCACCCCTGCCCTGGCCAGTGACAATCCTTTCTTGTGGGGAAATTTTCCCAGCTCTCCAATCTAACCCTCCCCTGGCACAACTGGAGGCTGTTTCCTCTCATCCTGTCCCTTGTTCCCTGGGAGAAGCCCCCATTTAAGGGGTGATCTCCTTTCCTCTCCCATCCCAACGTGTGATTTCGCTCTCTCCCCGCAGGGCTATCGCCAGAAGGATTATTTCATTGCCACCCAGGGCCCTCTTCCACACACAGTGGAGGATTTCTGGAGGATGGTGTGGGAGTGGAAGTGCCACACCATCGTGATGCTCACAGAGGTCCAGGAGAGGGAGCAGGTACGTGTGTCCCGTGTCCCCACAGCTCCACAGCAAAGCTCTTCCTGTTCTCACCAGCAAAACATGACCGCTAATATCAGATGAAATATTTTTTGCCTACAAATTCCAGTAACACAGACTTTATTTTTTTTTTATTATTATTTTGCCTTTCCTAAAACAATCACTTGCTTCACTATTTGGTGTGGGCCAATGTTGCTGCTTTTGCCTGAATTTTTAGAAAACCCACCAAAACTAGCAAGTATTACAGTTTTTAAAAGCTTCAAGTTTACATTAAAAGGATGCCTGACATGAAATAGTGGTTTGGGATTTGGGAAGAAGCTGGGCAAAGATTTTGTGTAAACTTTCCTCCCAGTTGTGCCAGTACACAAGTTCCAGTGACTCATTCT